AAGAAAAGTAGAACACTTTCTTCTTTTCTTCCTCCCTCCATTTTCTCAAGCAAAAAATAAAAAAATAAAAAATAGAAAATTAGTTTTCTTCATCTTCTTCATCCACTTCCACCTCCAATTTACGAAAGAGGGTGAGAGAGCTTAAAGAAGTTTTCAAGCCCGAATAAAGTGACACCTTCTTCTAAAAGGAGGGCTTCCACTCGACTTTTGAGAAGCTAAGAGGTCATCATCTCTTACATAGAGAGAGCTTCCTCTCACACCTGGGAGAAGGAGAAGAGCATCACATCTCCTACTCGAAGGGAGCTTCACCTTCTCAACGGGGGACGTCATTAACTATCGCATAGGTGATACACTATGTCCCTCATGTTTCCCTTTCTTTAGCTAGCCCTAGGAATGAGTTAGAGATTATTAGGGCTTTGTGGCTGTTTTCCTAAAGGAAGTCACTAGGATAGGAATAAGTTGTGGACAAAACCTTACGAATCTTATTGATATCCTTGCAAAAGCCTTAGCCTGAACCCAAATTTGGTTGGAATCTATATTTCTACTTATTTTGGTTGTTTCAACCTTCCATTCAGAGGTTGGAGCACTTGGGATTTGTAGGATGAAAAAAGCTTTACAGATAGTTCATCCTACAAATGATGGAGAATTTATCCTTCCAGGAATTTAAGGGCTAAATTCCCTAAACTCCCTACACCTGTCACCAAAGTCGGAGGCAGCTATGTCGCATATCAATGTGTTGAAACCTAAGTACATATGTGAGAACGCTATGATGGGTACAACTTGCTATTGGGCATTAACATTTGTGTGACATCATATGCTTTGCCATGATGAATATCATTCCATTTTTGCACGTTCTGTGTAACACGTAGGTCTGACCAACTGTCCTGGCTCTATCAACCAATCACTTAGGTCTGGTCGGTCGCCCCGGCCCAGTCGACCGATCACCTAGGTTTGACCGACCACCTCGGTTTGATCGACCAATCACCTATGTTTGATCGACCACCACTACTCGACCTGCTGACCACTTTGGTCCGACCGACAACCTTGGCCCGGTCGATCGATCGCTTGGGTTCGATTGGCTGCCCCGACTCGACTGACCCATTAGCTATGATGTTTTGGGTTGACCACTCTGGTCGACCCAATGGGTCAAACGACCAACATCACTTGCATGTTGTATGTTTTGTATGTGCATTCACATCATTTGCATAACTGTGCAATACTTGGTCTGTATTCACACATGTGTGCATGAAAATTTTTTTGACGTGCATTTTGATGAGCTCATTTGCATGTTACTCTGTCTTTGACACATGTCATATTAAGTGTCTCTTTGAGCACCGTCACCCGCGGTATTTCAACCACATGTGTATCACATGCTTTTGGGACTCGATAGTCGAATCCTTCGATGATTGGTGGCTAACTACTACTTTATAGAATGTGAAATTTCATAAAGGAGGACACGCTCTTCATCTCCCGTGACACCTTTTGGTTGCCACAACATTTTCATGTTGTTCACTCAATCCAGGTCAGAGCCTCTGAACCCGTTGAGTGTGCATTATGTATGCATTTGATTTATGTCATTTGCATATTGCTTGAAGACCTTCCTTCGTGTTTGCTCATACCCCATCTGAGTAACCACGATGTTGGACCTTGTGTGATGCTTGCTTGCATTTGCATTTGTTTGCATGCTTCGGTAGCGAGTCAAACTAGGTGAGCGACCCTGTGTTGGTTGTGATGTTTTAACAAGCATTGTTCGTCGGGTAGATCTCGGGGAGCAATGCGAGTTAAAGAATCAAATTGACACAAATATGATTGTATTAAGGATCAAATAGATCAAACTTGTGTCATCTGACATGTTACGGGTCTTCATTTAATGACCTTATTTTAAAATATGAAAATTACTTTTCTATTTATTATATTCATCCTAAATTTTAAATTATGAAAGTAGCAAGCTGGTCATATATAAGACTAACTTTTTAGAAATCCATCTTAGGTGACGTAAATTGGCTACCCCGTCAAAATCATACATACCCAGAGACTTTACTCTAAGCACTTAAAAGCTGGTTATGACACTTCTTAGTAGTTATAGTGTTGAGCTAGGATTATGGTGCTAGATAATTTTTTTATACCTATGACTATTATTCTTTGTCGTCTTGTTTGCTCTAGTCATGCATTTCTTTTATGCTTTGGGTGTGTTTGTATGCTTGTTTTAATATTTATGGTAGTACACTAGGACGGTCTTTTACAGAGGCCATGTCATACATATGCACACACACATATACAATAAAATAGGGAGTAACTTAATGATTATTATTTACCCTCTTCTACAGACACTGCTTAGTTCCCTCACAATGCATGACTCAAACACATTGCATGCTTATTTGGCTTTCTCATATACATGTTTTTACTTTTCTTGATGTATTTCTTAGAGTGCTCAAGAGAGTTCTGCAATGGAAATAAGAAACAAGCCTGAGTTTTGAGACGTTTGACGAGAGAACCACGTGACGGGGGACTAGGAGCAAATGTTTGTGTTCCGTATCTTAATTTCACATTTTTATATTATTGTATAGAATTATGACCGAAAATGTATATGTGAAGTCCGACCTCATTTCTCTTTCTGGGATAAGTTGTCGATCCAGCGACACCGACCTTTTATTATTTCATATGTGGCTTATTTTCTTTCTTTTCTTACATGTTTGCATACTTGGATTATTTTCCCAATTTATTTCTGATTTATCTGGAATGTTACAAAATTTACAATTTCGACTTGTTATGACCTTAAACTTGTAAAATTTTTAGCAAATTTCTAAAAAAAATTAAGATAAATTAAGATTTAGGTTTAAAATTGTCGAGATTTTTAAAAACTTGTTTTTGCTTTTTTGCATAGCTTTCAGGCTGGATTTCAAATGGATTGCATAACATGGATATCACCTAAGCCCTTTCAATGGGGTCTCCACAAAATCTAATGATCGCCCAAGATAATTGCAACATTAGCATGTCCTAAGGAGAAACCTCATGTGCTTCTTCAACCTGATTTGCCTAGCATTAATTTCAACTTAGATGGTTGTCTAGTACACATAGGTCGTTAGAAGGTTCTTCGACCTAGATAGGGGGTAAGTCATTTTGTCGTGAGTGTTTCCAATTTTGTAGCTGAACCTCCCATTCTCTTCATTTCCAACATCATCTTTGTCATTTCAGCTGGTATAAATCTGACCTCTTGGAGCTTCACTTGATAATCATAAAATAGAATTTTCTTCTTTTGACCTTAGGGCTGCTGAGATTCCCCATGGACGAGGCAATTGACAAATTGCTAACGAGGGATCTTGAGATGTGTTAGGTCGTCTGCCTTCACGAACTGATAAACTTAGGATCCTAGTAAATTGGGATGACGGGTCTGTATTACCCTGACATGACTACCTCACTCTTATAAGAGCACTCTACCCTTCCTCTTGTTGAGCCCATTTGAGCCCTATAACTTATTCAACTTTATTGATATCATCTAGATGGTCTGATTATCGAGGAGTTGTCGCTCATTTATATGATACGGTGATTCACACTCTGCCATTATGCCCCAACGAGCTCTGATGTATAGAGATATCCCCATCGAGATGATTTTGGTTATTTCGTAGGTTCTGATGTTAATGAGCTGCTACCCATTTGGGGTGTAAGAGACTTACACTCTGTCATGGCTTAACGAGAGTTTTAAAAGTATCGGGGCTTTCCCATACAAAGTAACTATTCTTTAAGTTCATGATAATGTAAGTGAAACTCCTTTTAAGGAGAGTATTCTCGAGTCTCCCCCAATATGTAATTAACTAAATGGATACATCCCTTTGGGAGATCCTTGACCCCAGAACAAAATGTTCTTTTGGTTCTCTGGTTAGGGGTGACTTATGTAATTTTTTTTGTGGATATTGGTTTTCGAGGTATTTTGTATTGATTTTGTTCAGATGAATACTCTCAATTTATTACATGAGGATTACCACTATATAAGATTTCCATGTTTCTTTTTTAATTTGATCTCTCTATTTGTTGTGTATATCTTTATTTTAGATTCATCTCCTCTCTCAAATCATCTGTATGATTCAAGAGAGAGATTTATTCGAATAAGAAAATAATATGTCAACATATAAATAGACAAACCAATGATTACGAGTTTTTAAAAAGAACCAAAAACACTGGTTTGTATGGTCTAGTGACTTTATCACAACTTTTGATTATGACCAATGTGATTAACTATGACTTACGTGACTCACAACACATGTTGCTTCTCACTGTGCCTTTTGTGGCCAAGCAACATTCCTTAGTCAACCATATGTGGCTCACAAAACCAATTACTATCATGACTTTTAACTACAACTTATACGACAAGATAACATCATAACCACCGCCAACAACATTCACAACGGACTGCTGCCTCAATAACAATCAACTACAATCCTTATAACCCACTATCATGGACAACTACAACCAAACAACAACTATAATCAATGTAGCACTGTTTTACATATACAATAATCATTTTTGTAACTCTATTTTCTCTGATTCATAAGAAAAGTGAATATGTGTACTCAAAAATCACAGTGAATTATTTCAACTGTTACATGACTCATGAATTTTTTCCCTTTTTTGAGTTTTCCATGTATAAATTGTGGAGTCTCCTCATACTTTCTTTTATTTAATCACACGAGTGAGTGTTAGATTTTCGTGTAAAGTTAAGATACTAAGTAATCACTCTATAGCTGCAGAAGTGCATCTTTAATAATAATAATAATAATATTTTTAAAGTTATGCTAAAAATTCAATTGATAATCACTTGAATATAAAAATTGAGGCATTTCATATATAAATATACGAATTGGGCGGTATGTATGTAAAAGCCCCTAATTTTTGTAAGTAGAAGGGTGATAATGTTGCGGTAGCATGTAAATATGATTTTTTGGAGATTAAAAAAAATGCTCCTAAAAAATTGCTTGCAGTGCCACCCGCCCACTGAAAGTAAGCCCGTCTTAAACCCTCGCTCCCACGTCCAACACGCATAGAGCAGCGGCCTCCTTCTTCCAGTCATCTTCGGAGAGAGATGTCTCACTGTTTCACCTCGGTTTCCTTCTCTTCCCGAAGCCTAATCTCCTTCGTAAGCCTTTTCTCCCCTACCTTCCTTTCGCTCTGCACATTCTACCAGCTACTATTGACTATATCCCGCGGATTCATTCTTAGAGGGAACTGCAAACGAAATGGAGTCGCAAGTCAGGCAGAAATCTTTCTCCCTACCGAAGATTTTGCGTTACAGCAGGTCCTAAGAGGATATTCTTTGATAACGATTGCAGAAGAGCGCTGCTAGCCGGGATTGATAAGCTCGCAGATGCCGTCTCCGTTACTTTGGGACCCAAAGGTGTTACATTTCTCCACTCATTTGGTGCACTCTTTTTCTTCCATTATTGAGAGATGGAATTAAATTGTTTTAAATCACTAGGTCACATCCAGCAAGTTTGGCCCAACTTTCCACCATCTCTGGCGTTACGCTGATCAGAGCTTCACACAGTACAATTGAGAAAAATAGGGATTACAACATCATAATCTCAACCAATGAAAAAGATGAACAATCCCTATTATCATTGGGGCAAGGCAAACGGAGAATCCGTATCATATATTATAGCAATAACATGCCATGCCATGCAATAGCGATAACATACTTTAAATTGGTTTTTGCTAGAACAAATCAAACTAGACACAACCACCCAAGGTTTATACACCCTTCAACATTGCTTAAATTCTCAAAGTACTAAATATAATTTTAGTACTCGTTAGGACTCATCATCATCTTCTTCCTCAGACTCATCCCGACCATATTTGGTATGCTTTATGAATCCCATTTTCCGTGTGAATCCTTTTGAAGAAGTTTCCATTTTGCCTTAGGTTTTCCACCTTTTACGTCCCATTCCTTCAATATTAATAGAGTTGTGATGCAAAGTGAGGTTTTTCTTCCATTGGCATACCGATGTAGATCTCTGCATAACAGAGGGACTAATTCCAAATAGGGAAAAGGGTACATTTAGAATTTGCTTAGGTTCTGTAGTTGGAAAAATGTTAATATTCTTGATCAGTGGACTAGGAATAGCCAAAATTTCACACAAGGCACTGATACCTGTAAACACAACCACATGAATAAATACAGTTTTAATTAATAAGATTTTGGATATCTCATCATTACCTTTATAAATTCTTCATTTAGAAACAGTATGTTCAACAAATTATTCTCTATTTTCAGAAATAAATTCTGAAAATTTATTCTTACACTCGTTTGCCCGGCATTGGTACCTCATATCACTTCTAACGCTTATAAATATATTGTCATAATTACGTGCCATGTCGATGAATGTCAATGCTGACTTCAGAGGATGTTCTCCTATGGTTTTCATGTTTTTCTTATTCATATTTTCAGTCTAGGGATGCTTCCATACAGTACAAAATACTTACACCAGACTGTTCCCACACTGCATTTTGCTTAAATAGTTATTAATCCTGCAAACAATGAATGATTTAAATCATAATTTATGGGATTATATAACTATTCCAGATCAGTAAACTTTATTAATCGTGACATGAAGGCCGTAATGTGGTTCTTGACGAAAAGGAAGTTCCTAAAGTTATTAATGATGGAGTCACCATTGCTAGAACTATTGAACTCTCTGATGCATTTGAAAATATTGGCGCAATGCTACTCCAAGAGGTATAATTTTCTCCATATTTTTCGCCATGAGTTTAATATAATCTATGGTGTATGAATAGCTCCATTGTTTCTTTTCTTATGCATCACTTAGTCAGGTTGCATGCAAGACTAATGATTCCGCTGGTGATGGGACGACTACTGCAATTATTTTGGCTCGAGAAATTTTTAAGTTAGGGTTATTAGCAATTTCATGCGGTGCTAATCCAATTTCCTTGAAAAAAGGGATTGATAAAGCTGTCAGTGAAGTGATTCAAACACTGAGGAGTAAATCCATTCCTATTAGGGGGAAGGAGGATATAAAAGGTATCTTGTCACTTTTGTAGAGCAAGCAAGTATAAATGATAGCTGTTCTCATTAATCATAATTTTTTTTTGGGAAATTTACATACGTAGCATACAGTTCTTATGCATTTACGTATCTCACTCCTAATCTTTCTTGTTTACATACATAGCTTGTTGGTGATTTAAACTTATGCATGCAAATATATATTTCACTTTTAAAAAGTGGTAATAGTTAGTGGCGGAACCTGTCTCTTTTTTGTGGGCCCCTAGACCCAACGTGAGATGGGTTAGGGAAACGAAGGACAAAGTGATATTTTGGGAGGGGCAAAATTGATATTTCAAGATGGACAAAAGTCTAAATTGCCCTCCCATGTAAGTAAAAATCTAAATTTGAGGAGGTGTAATTGCTCTCCTGAATCCTACCTGGTTCCGTCCCTGGTAATAGTGCTATTTTTATGTGCTATTAAAGATTTGAGTGCTATGAAATATGAAAGTTTTGGTGTGAGATGTAAGTACGTAAGAATTGTGTGATATGTGTATAAATGCCCCCGTTTTTTTTTTCAGCTGTTGCATCTATCTCTGCTGGTAATGATGGCTTCATTGGTAACCTCATTGCTGAGGCTATTGAACAGATAGGGCACGATGGTGTTATTTTGATTGAATCATCTTCATGCTTTAATACTGTTATTGAAATTCAAGAGGGAATGAAGGTATTCTCACAAAGTTAGGTTTAATTTGCTTTGTTATATTTTGGGGACAACTTAATGTCTTATATGCAGGTGGATAAGGGGTATTTATCTCCACACTTTATCACAAACCATGATAAATCACTAGTGGAACTTCAGAATGCTAAAGTTCTTGTAACCGATCAGAAAGTTACGAATGTTAAGGATATTATCCCTTTGTTAGAAAAGGTTACACAATTAAGCGTTCCGTTGTTCATAATTGCTGAGGACATCTCAAGTGAAGTTTTGGCTACTTTGGTTCTTAATAAGATGAGGGGATTAGTAAATGTTGCTGCTATTAAGTGTCCTGGATTTGGCGATGGAAAGAAAGCTCTTTTGCAAGACATTGCGCTCATGACAGGTAGGCTTAGTCTTTTTATTTTTCTTTTTTTGCATCATTAATTTCCTTCTTGGATTTTTTTGAGAGTTTTTTTTGCAAAGAATCCAAATTCGTTGATTATTATAAGTTGACTGGATGGTTTATTTGAAGTTCTTATTGGCTTTTATTTGGCGTTCAAGGATGACCATAAATTTCTGCTTCATTGAATAATGTGGGACCGGTTCTAGATGTGGGAACCAACTTATCTTTTTCCAAAAATTTAAAGGCATTTGCAGCTTTCAAGAAAAATGTCACGTTTCTTTTACTTCATGTGAAATTTCAAGAGAATGTTTGTTGTGAATTATTGTGTTGCAATCTAGTATTGCGTTTTTGCATTTAAATATTTTAATGCAAAAATGCATGTTGTTTCTGTTGCTTTGCGAAATCTTTCATTGTTCAGGGATAAATGGAATAGCTGCCCTGAGAGTGCAAATGTAATAGAAATGAAGCTTATATTGGATTTGTTGATCTCGTCTGTTCTGTAAACTGGCGTGTAAAAGTGATTGAAAATTTTTGAATGAGCAGAGTAGGTCGGCTTTGAGGTTGAATTTAAATTAGAATAGCTTTGATGAGTTTGATAGTCATGACATGTTTCGGTGGCTGTTATGAAAACCCTCAAATTTTTATTGCGGAAGTGCTTACTAGGAATGAATAAGATGATTCTATCAACTATTAACAAAGAGATCAAGCACGGCAAGAAGATACCAAAATTTAATGGCTACCCCAAAATGAGTTATGTTCATGAGAAAGGGGAGAAAATTTGATCCGTTATAATAAAATCACATGTAAAAATAGAATTTTTTTTTTCAAACCCAAATAATCATAAAATCTCAGTGCAAAAGTAAAGCACCAAATCTCAAGCTACATAATGGATTAACAATCACATGAAAGATATAATAAACAAAGAATAGTTTCATAATATTGAAAATCATCTTCGAATGTTCTTCAAAATGGTATTGTCAAGCATGTCTATGGAACCTCCATGATGCAGGAGCTTTCTCGCACAGTTTTCTCACGCCACTGTAGCAGCTACAGTACCACGGGAAAGTTTATCACGGAGATGAGAGATGATGAGTTGAAATAGTCCCGTTTTTTTTATACTTTCTTTCCTTTTATCTTTGATTCATTTTTAGTCATTTCTTATATATGTGTTGTATTAGAATTTGAGAGTTAGTTTTTGAATTATTTTTTCTCTGGATAGACAACGTCTTGGTTTTACCATTCCAAAGCTGTATTCAAAGGCGAGGAGGTTCTCTGGCTGTAGCTCGTCTGAGGTAGCGACCTTCTCCCAAGGGAGGAATGGTGCTCTTGTTGTAGCTCTCTTTTGCTGGGATATTTATCTTGTTTTCCCCATCCAACCACCAACTATGTCCTTCCCCCTCTTCTCCCGTTGCTGTTGCTCCCAACCACCTGCTTTGCTACTTTTGCTGTCCGAACAGCCACCTCCGCTGCCTTAACCCCTCCACCATTTCCTTTGTTGTTCTACCCTTGTCCTGCCATTCACCATCACCGCCACAGCCCCGCAAGCCCTTCCCGCTGTCCTATTGTTGTCCAACCATCCGACTGTTAGGTGAAGCCTGTGACTTACCTACCCCACCTACCTCTCTCCCACCTACCTTTCTCCCGTTTTCTTTAAATAGCCTCTTTTGGTCTGTCATAAGTGCTAAGCCAAACCCTCTTAACCTCTCTGCTGCTTAATACCTTTGCTCCTTAAGCTTGGCTCGACAAAACTTACAAGAAAAACTTACGGTGGAGAGCTAAGAGAGAGCAATGAAGAGAGAGAGTAATAGAGAGAGAGGATGGAGAGAGAAAAAAAAGTTTTCTTGTAAACGTCGAGACGCTCGATGGTGTAATTTTTTGAAGTAATAAAATCCTCTGCAGCTTCGTGGACGTATGCAAATTAGCCGAATCACGTAAATCTGTGTGTTATTTTCTGGTTTGCAATTTCTTGATCCGGTTTTTTCAATTTATTTCCTTCGTTTTTTCATAACTGGTATCAAAACATTGTTTCAGATCTAAAGAAAAACGATGGGCAGAGATGAAGTGATGACATCAGAGATCGAGGAGTTTAATGACATATATTTTGGTTACTAAATGATGCAAATAGAGGATTACCTCTATGGGAAAAAATTTCATCTTCCGTTACTGAGAAAGAAGCCGGAAAAAATGTATGAGGCGGAATGTAATCTGTTGGATCGACAGGTTCTGAGGGTTATACGATTAACCCTGTCAAGATTCGTTGCCCACAATTTCATCAAGGAGAAGACTACTGCAAATCTCTGTTGACCTCATTTTTAGTGAGGTCTTAGTCTCCTAATCTTAGAACCTAGGATCTAGCTTTAGGAGTTCTTATTGACTATCCTAGCGGACTAGCAATGGACCCCCCCTCCCGTAGAACTTCAAGCCACTTC